GTGGTAGCTTTTTGTCACTAATTTCAAAAATCCATATTTATTCATGGGGTCAAATAGGGTCGGAGAAAAAAAAATTGACATGTTACTGTTTTATTTTCTCAAAAAGAAATAACTTTTTGCAACTCTTGAGATTCTTTGTCAGTCAATGAATTCTTATATCCACCAGATGGTGCCACTAATCAACAGAAATACTTTGTTTTTTCCCCACTTTTATTTTTAACATGGCTCCAAGCTCAAAAGTTGTATTTCCTATAAAACTACACTTACAAGCCTCAAATCAGAGAGATATTAGAGATGTCATGCTTTCTTTGATCTGTTACTTATGTAATAGGATATGAGAACAAAGACTTTTACTATTGTTTTTGTTGCTATCCTGTTAGAAATTTAATAGTTGCTCTTTATTTAGACATGTACCAACACAATAAATCCTTTGTTATATAATCTAGCAAAAAAAAAAATTAATCTATAAGACAAAAGCAAACTCATCTGATCCTTTGTGAACAGCATTATTAATAGTATTCTAATATAGATATAATACTAATTTTTGCATGCAAGAGACCATAAAGATCAGGGCAATAAAAATGTGAATTGCAGTGTATTCAATACTGAAATCCATACATACCAAAAAGCAGTACTGTTTTTAAAGAACATTGCGATGTAGTTCTATCCTTTAGATTCATATAAGCAAGCTGTTTTAAACATATCAAATGTACCTTCCTGACTGCATACTTTCACTCCATGAAGTTCACAGAACTTTCACAAAAGTTCTTAATCTTTCACTTTTAATTAAGGTAAAGTTTCCCTCCCATTGAATATAATATCAAGGATTATGTGGATTATATGGATACATTCATATTAAGCTTTTTGGCAACAGTATGGATGTAGTTTGTCACTGCCTTTTTTGTTCTTTGAGCTTAGCCAGGTTTGCTAGTGGTTGCCATCTGCAGTGACTGGTTTTAATTAAAAATTAATACGTCACAGAAAGAGAAATGGACTCTTTTTTTGAAGAAATCTTATTAATTTTTAAAGACATACAAAACATAAAACATAAGAACATAAAACCTCTTTTCTGAAAGTTATTTGTAAATTTTAACAAAAGAAATAAAATATTTTATACACCATTGACACATCTCCTTATAAACACATACATATCCTTTCAAGTTTCTCATTATTTCTCCCTTTACTTTTATTCAATTGTATTTCTTTTCTATATTTATCTATTTTATATGTTTTTATTCACTATACTTATTTTTTCTTCTGACTTGCTTTATTCTCTTCTTTTATTCTCAATTGTCCTCTTCTAGCATTCCTCCAAGGTTTTATTAACTCAATCAAACATAAACACACAAAAACACAAAACATAGAAACATAAAAAATATCTTTTCTGAAAGTTGCTTAGTCCCGGGTTACAACTCTTCGTACAGACACAAATTCAAATTCATATTCACTTTGTATACTATTCCATATCTTATTTCCATTTTCAATTTTCTATATAGCTTCTCATCTCTTTTAAATTTTCTTAGTTTTATTTTGTTTATCTCATCTCAATTCAAATCATAATATTTATTATTCTTTGTCTGTTCTGTTTCCAGCTACACATTTATCTTTCTTCTTTAAACAAAACTTCTCCTGTACACTAATTGGAGTATGACGCCTTTATCTCTTTCCCCTACATTTATAATATTTAATATAAAATACATAGCTTACATTGGGATTCTGTTTGGTACATTCTAAAATTATACAATATTATCAATGCCAATACAAATCTATTCATTAATATTAATATTCATTTATATCTTAAACACTTAACACATTACTTTTCAGTTAAATATCATACTTTTATGGGAACACCTATTTTCCATGGAAGATAAATGGACTCTTGATGTTTTCTCTATTTTCTTATTTCATTTATTATGATGATGGAGCCCAAGATTAATATTTGCTGTGATTGTTACATCTGAAAGCCGCAGTGGATATAATAATAGCAAGGCTGTCAAACTCCCAGCCCATGGGCTGGATGCATCACATGCTGGTCACACTCATACTCAGTTTAGCAAAGGGGAGAAAAGTCCCAATAGGTCACGTGATGCTGCATGATGACATAAGTTTGACACTCCTGGTAATAATAAGTAAATTGATGCAAGGTTGGCCCAAAGCATTTTCCTTCTTAGCCAGAACATTAACTGTTTCTTCACTTGTATATAATGCACAACAGCAGTTATGTTTTATATATGTCTAAGATGTATACATATTCCTCAATTACTTTTCCAGGAAAAATACCATAGAATAAGAACTAAAGTTTGTGCTATCATTTCATGACACCAAAAATCCTAAGAAGACTGCCTGTCTGGCATGCTGCTTTTGGGATAATCTCCCAACCAAGTACTATTAAGATCTGGTTCAGTAAATGTCAACTAGCAGTTGCTATCTGCTCTAAGTATGAGCTAGAGCAAAGAGACTCTGTTAGCTATGCCATATTTCTACCAGATGGCTGCCATATTTCTACCAGATGTCCTTGAACTGTGTTCACCTGTATTCTCCTCCAGTTATATTATTCATTTGCCATATATTCTATACTAACTTAGTTGGAATTCTGCATAAAAGCTTTATCTGATAGAATATACCCCACCTGGTATTGATCTTTTGGTTTTATTAATTGCATATGGTTCCTTTCAATTACATTTATCTTTACATAATCCTGTCCTGGGAAAGCGGTGGTGGTGGTTTTTCCCAACGTGCTGCCGCATTCGAAACGCCGGCTTCGGAGCGGTGCTGGTCAACAGGTGAAACTGCAGGGCCGGCTGGCGCCTTGAACACCCCCCCAATGCCTCTTAGCGCCCCTCTGCCGGCCCCCTTGGGGAAGCTAAGGGGGGTCAGGGGGGTGTTCAAGGCGCCGGCCCTGCAGGCTCACCCCATTGACTGTTGTACCGCACCAGAACTGGTAATGCAGCAGCACATTGAGAAAAGCCACTGCTACCGCTTTCCCAAAGTGCCGCCACTGTCATATTCTGTCTGTCAGTCTGTCCGTCCATCCATCCATCCATCCATCCATCCATCCAAAAGATCTGTTTGCCTGCCTTCCTGCCTTCTACCTGTCTGTCTTTCTGTCTACCTACCTACCTACCAATATCTATCTATCTATCTATCTATCTATCTATCTATCTATCTATCTATCTATCTATC